GGCTGGAAGGCACGTCGTCCACCTCTCCGCCAGGCGGCGGAGCAGCTCGGCCATCCGGTGCCGGGCTCTCCCGGCCACCAGCCGGAATTTCTTCCCCACCAACGGCCTCCTTCGGGAGCTGGCGGGTCTCTTCGCCGTTGGAAGGGGCCGGGATCGTCCCTCCCTGCTCAGGCGGCTGCTCCATTGGAGCAGGTGGCAGCGGGACCCTCACCGTGGTGTCCTGCCTTGAGTGGGTCCGGATCAGGCCCCTGGGAACACTCCGGGTCCCTCCAGGAAGAGCCACATCCCAAACCTCTCCCTTAGAAGGTAAAACTTGGGTATTTCAAGAAAATATATATATATTAGTCCAACCTGTTGACTCTCTTAGCTTAAGAGTTTTTCTCCCCCGGCCCTTTACATTCATTAAAATAATGAAAAATAAACTGTTGGCTGCTCACGCCTCCAAATCACCATTAAAAAAATTAATGCCGTGGATGCGTGCGGATTTTATCTGCCTCCCGTTCGCAAGGAAAGAGGGAAAATCCCAAACCAACCTGGGAGGAATTGAGGGGTTCGATGGAGCCAAAGTGGCGTAGGGGAAAGGTCAGAGTCCTGCGCTTCTGCCGGGGTTTTCCTGCAAACTCAGCCCAGCGAGGATGCTCCTGCGGAGAAATTTGTGAAATTTGGGTTTTAAATAGTCAAGAAATTTGGAATATTTGGTTTTTAAATATTCGAGAGATTGGGAAAATTTGGCTTTTAAATGCTCAAGAGATCTGCAAAATCTGGTTTTGAAAGACTCGAGACATTTGGAAAATTTGGCTTTTAAACGTTCCATGCAGGCAGGAGCGCGGCTGCTCTGGCTTTCACTGGGTTTTCTGCCCTGTCCCTCCCTGGTGCCCCCACTGCGGCACAGCCACCCACGCCGGCTCACCGGGAGCTCTCCTGAGCCCCTAATCCTCCTCCCGCCCGGCGCTGACCCTAATCGGGGACCGGACCCCCGGGCAGCCCCCCGTGTTCCCAAGGGAGACGGGGATGCTCAGAGAGGGATGCAGGTGACAGCGGCGATAAAGGGTGATGAAAACGCCCGCGGAGGGCGGAAACTGGGGGGAAAAGGGTTTTTTGGGGGGGAAGTGGTGAAAGCCAAGGAGAAAATCAAGGGGGTCGGTGCCCTCTGAGCCATTCCTGTGTCTTTTAGGGTCAGAGCGGGGGGGGTTTGGGGAAAAGAAAAGGAAGGGGACGGTGCCCAAAGGTAACCGTCTGTTTATTTATTAGTAATAATTATTAAATAAATAAATAGTGCAGAGATAACTAGAGAAATAAGTAAATAAATATTCTCCAGATAAACAGCTATACAGATAAATAATTAAATAGCATCAGTAAACAAATAAACAAATATTCTCAGTAGACAGGTAGATAAATAGATAAATCAATACTCTTAATAAATAAATCTATAAATAAATTAGTAATATCTATAAATAAACAGCGTGGGAATAAACAAACAAATATTCCTGATAGATAAATAGGTAAGTAAAGAGTAAGTAGTATTATTAACCAAACAAATAACAAACAAATATTTTTCATAGATAGGCGGATGGATAAACAAATAGTCTTCATAACTAACTAAACACATACACACATACATATTTTATATGAATAAATACAACAAGACGCAGGTCGGCGGCCGGCAAGGCGCCGGGACTCCGCTGCCCCCAAAACACCCCGAAACACCGCCACCGCTCCCACAACCCCGCTGTCACCCTCAACCCGCGCCCACCCCCTGTGGCACCACTGGCACAGGGGGGTGCCACCCCTTCAACCCCCCACCGCCCCGTGAACCCCCGACGCCCCCAGCCCCACTCTTACGCTGCAGCTGTTTTGCTGCCGTCGTTCCCCCACCCCC